TAACACCCCATCCAATCACTTTCCCTTCTCTCTTGTGTTGCCTCTTGACCTTCTCAATTCGGCCCTCCTCACTCCAGGCTGCAACCCAGTCTCCAACCCAGCTCTCCCAGGGCACCTCACCATTCTGTTTTCCCTGTATTTTCTTATGTTGGTCTCCCCGAGCCAGGATGTAGGCCCCACGACGGTGGTGGCTTTTGTCTGGTTTGTTCCTGAGGTGTGTACCAAAGGATATTTGATAGACGTTTCTCGAATGAATGAATGAATGAACGAACGAACAAAGGCATGGCCATGCACATACTGCTTTCACCATCCTCTCCCACCCGTGTCTGCTCAACAATGCTCCACTCCGGGTCTGGCCACCAGGGGCGGAAGCCGGCGTCTAAGGCCACTCTGTTCCCAAGACCGGACAGGGACATGGATCACTTAGAGGAGGTAGGGCGGAGAGATGGGGCCTTCAGGCCTAGGAGGCACAACTGCTGAGTGGATTCAGTGGGGACAGTGACCCCCAGTGGCCACTGAGAATTTGTGCACGAAAACAAGTGTCTGTTACTTCCGCATGCCAGGGAAGGGAAGTGCGATCTGGCTCAACTTCAGTTTCTCGTTTCTGCTTGGGTGACTCCTCTACATTTTCTCTTACCCCTCTCCCCGACCAAAGCAAGCAAATCCAAGGTTTTCTAGCTGTAGAGATTTTTCTGGTGAAGAAACAGGCACAGACTCATGAAGTAATTTGTTCAAGGTCTGTCTGTCCTACACATACACTCAAGGTTGAACTGTAGCCAAATAACCAGGGAAGCTGCAGGAGTCCTGGGAGACCCCAGGCCAGGGAAGAAGGGGCTGGAGCAGCTCATCCTCCACCTCCTCCCTCTCCCTACTTGATGTTTCCAGAGCCAAGGACTCAGACCTATGTTGTTTAAGTGAATGCTGACAACTATTTAGGTAACGAGGGTCTAGGGCACCGTTACACAGATGTGCTTTCAGCAAAGACGACAGAAGTGGATGTAAGGAAGGAAACTGGAGTAAACGAGGACCCCAGGAGACTTTCTCCCCTGCCCCGTGGCACATCCTCCTGCCTCTCCCTGCTGGAGGACCCTGGCCCTGCGAGCACCTGCCAAGGATGGCTGGGCCCGTTATCCACGATAACCCGAGGCCACCATACGTGCCTCTGCATGAAATGGAGGCTTCACCCTCTGCTGCCCACACTGCGCCTCCAGCTTTCTTCCTTCAAACGCCCGACCTATCGTCACAATCCCAGATTCCAGGGAACACAGGTCAAATTCTCCCAAGCAGTCTCCCCAAGCCTGAGCCTGATTTTCTTCTAGGCACCCCCAGCAGCAGGAACTAATATTCAACAGTAGTGTTACTGGAGACATCTGGAAACACTGCTCAAACCAGAAACAAAGACTGCTCCGAGTACAGATCCAGAACGGTGGGAAGCATCTTCAACACAGCAGCCACTGTCAGGCGGAACCCTGCCCAGCCTTCGGGCTGGGCTCCCTTTGCAAAGCCTTTCCCAGTGCACTGCCCAGATGGTCGCAGGCAGTTTTACACTATGACACTGAGGTGACTTCACTTGGTCTTTTATTGCCAATTTTGATTTATATTTAAGGATGATGGCTGAGAACAGGCGGGCCATCATTCCAATAAATGCGCACTTCAGGCTGAAGGCGCACCCTGCCCCCAACCCGAACCCCCACTATCAATGCATAAGAAACAGATTTGTAAAACCTAATATTGTTCTTTTCTTTTTCTTTTTCAGACAGAGTCTCAAAAAAGGCTGGAGTGCACTGGTGCCATCTCAGCTCACTGCAACCTGTGCCTCCCGGGTTCAAGCGATTCTCGTGCCTCAGTCTCCCCAGTAGCTGGGATTACAAGTGCATGCCACCGCGTCTGGCTAAGTTTTGTATTTTTAGTAGAGACGGGGTTCCACCATGTTGGCCAGGCTGGTCTCGAACCCCTGACCTCAAGTGATCCGGGCACCTTGGCCTCCCAAAGTGCAAGGATTACAGGCGTGAGCCACCGCGCCCAGCAAAACCTAACACTGTTCCTCCCCAGGTGTGGCCAGGAAGCGGGCTGCTCACTAAGGACAGGGGACCCATGGTCACTCATCTGTCGGCACAAGATCAACAACTGCACATCCCACCTCATAGCAGCTGCATGACACTGAAAGCCGTCTCTTTTCAGAAGAGCTGATGGCACCTCCTATATACTCTCCTTCAGTCCAGCAGCCCCAGTAAAGGAGGATGTCAATCGGTGACGGGGCAGAGAAAATCAAGAAAATGCTTTCAGCAGGGCACGGTGGCTCACGCCTGTAATCCCAGCACTTTGGGAGGCTGGGGCGGGCGGATCACGAGGTCAGGTGTGGGAGACCAGTCTGACTTAACATGATGAAACCCCGTCTCTACTAAAAATAAAAAATTTAGCTGGGCGTGGTGGCGTGCGCCTATAATCCCAGCTACTCGAGAGGCTGAGGCAGGAGAATCACTTGAACCCGGGAGGTGGAGGTTGCAGTGAGCCAAGATGGCACCACTGCACTCCAGTCTGGGTATCTCAAAAAAATAAAATAAAATGCTTTCAGTGGAAATGCTTTTAACCAGAACAGACCGTATCCAGGGAAAGTTTTTTCCCTTAGATTTCTCAACCTTGGCTGTGCATCAGAATTACTCCCGGAGCTTTAAGAAATCCTAATGTTCAGACCATGCCCCAGACCGATCAGGCCAGATCCTCCGGAGCGGGAACCCAGGCACTGGTATGTCAACTCTTGGGTGATTTCAATATGCAGCTACAGTTGAGAACCACCCGTCAAAACAGATACCATTTGACCAGGCGTGGTGTTTCACGCCTGTAATCCCAACACTTTGGGAGGCTGGGAAGGGAGGATTACTTGAGCCCCAGGAGTTTGAGACCAGCCTGGGCAACATGACAAGAGCCCCATCCCTAGAAAAAAGGTTTGAAAAATTAGCCGTGTGCAGTTGTGTGCACCTGTGGTCTCAGGAGGCTGAGGCAGGAGAATCTCTTAAGCCCAGGAGATCAAGGCCACAGTGAGCCACGTTCAGTCCACTGCATGCCAGCCTGGGCGACAGAGCAAGACGGCATCTCCAAAAACAAACAGACAGATATCATTTGACATTTTAATACCTTTTCATCTTGAATGTGAGCCACACCTGCATTACAAGTATACATGTGTTCCCCTTTCCATTCTCTACAGTGTAAATCATCTCTAGGTTACCACCTTCCATCTAAAACGGAGGCAGACTCTCTGGTTTACTAGGCTGTGGATTAAGCAATAAAGTGATGCTTCTTTCCAACTAATTTCTTTGTTGCTGGTGACCTACGTTAAAAAGGTGCCTCCTCGCCAGGCGCTGTGGCTCACGCCTGTAATCCCAGCACTTTGGGAGGCCAAGGCGGGTGGATCACCTGAGGTCAGGAGTTCGAGACCAGCCTGACCAATATGATGAAACCCCGTCTCTACTAAAAATACAAAGGTTAGCCAGGTGTGGTGGCAGGCGCCTGTAGTCTCAGCTACTCGGGAGGCTGAGACAGAAGAATTGCTTAAACCTGGGAGGCAGAGGTTGCAGTGAGCCAAGATCGCACCACTGCACTCCAGCCTGGGCAACAAGAGCAAAACTCTGTCTCAAAAAAAAAAAAAAAAAAACAAAAGTGCCTCCTCAAGTCCTCAGCGCAATTTCCATCAGATTGAACTGCAGGTACTGAACTCTCTGGCCAGCTTCAGACTGTGAAGATGGCCCTGAGGTTAGTGCCTTCCTATGTCACAGCGACAGCATCACACATTAGGAAATTCAACTGTGACAACGTCTCTCAAGGGGAGGCAGCAGCACTAGCTTCTAGAGGCCTCAACCCTCTCATCCACACAGCCAGGGGTCTCCTGAGCTAAGACAAGGCTCCAATGTATGTGACTGCCACCTTCGGTCGACAGCATCACTTTGTACATTGAGCCCACAACTCTCATGCTTACTTCTAATAAAGAGAACACATGATCATCCCGGCCTAGAGGAAGCAAAGGCAGACGTAAATTGCTAAGTAAAGATACTTTGTTTGGTCCGGGTACAGTGGCTCATACCTGTAATCCCAGCACTTTGTGAGGCTAAGGTGAGAGGATCGCTTGAGCCCAGGAGTTCGAGACCAGCCTGGTCAACATGACAAAACCCTGTCTCCCCTAAAAATATAATAATTAGGCCAGGTGCAGTAGCTCACACTTGTAATCCCAGCACTTTGGGAGACCAAGGCAGGCAGATCACCGGAGGTCAGGAGTTAAGATACCAGCCTGGCCAACATGGCAAAACCGCATCTCTACTAAAAATACAAAAATTAGCTGGATATGGTGGCACACGCCTGTAATCCTAGCTACTTGAGAGGCAGAGGCAGGAGAATCGTTTGAACCCAGGAGGCGGAGGTTATAGTGAGCCAAGATCACGCCACTGCATTCCAGCCTGGAAGACAGAGCGAGACTCCATCTCAAAAAATAAAAAAAAAAAAGAAAAGAAAAAAATATACATATATAATATGTGTGTGTGTGTACATATATATATGATATATATATATATCATGCGTGTGTGTGTGTGTGAAATTAGCACGGCATGGTGGCACATGCCTGTGGTCCCAGCTACTCGGGAAACTGAGGTGGAAGGATCGCTTGAGCCCAGGAGGTCGAGGCTACAGTGAGCCGAGACAGCACCACTGCACTCCATCCAGCATGGGCAACAGAGCAAGACCCTGTCTCAAAAAACAAAAAAGATACTTTTTTTGCTTTGAAAAACCAATCTAAAAAACTAACCTATTTAGATACCAAATTGTATATGAAATAAAATTTCAACTCTCTCTTTAGAATAAATAGATCCACAAAAATGCTAAGGAAATATACTACAACATTAACGAGGGTTACTTCTGGTGGGAAGATGATGGGTGATTCCCATCTTTTTCACTTCACTTAGTTACTAATAGAATAAGCACCATTACCTTTAAAATCAGAAAACAAACACAACTACCTTCCAAAGTTTAATCAATAAACTCCTTAGAAGTGAAATCTAACAATCACTTCAAATACTCTAAAATTCAACAGAGTAAAATCTCAAATTACTTTCTCCTCTTCCTAATTCTTATTTAAAAGGAGTCCCTCCATGAAGTGTGTGCACTTTCACGAGGATGCCAGGGAGGACTCACCGATTTTCACACGGGATAACGGTGAACCGCTCCAGTTTCAGAAACTCATCAAAAAGAGGATTTACAATGTTAAGATGTTCATGTCCCCAAGTTAAAAATGGATACTGAATACAACGGCATCCATATTTCTGGAGAAAAATCAGTACACATGTCACTTCTGTTACAGAAATCCATTTACAGTGTCTGTCCCACTCCACGGAAGCCCTGGTCTCAGGCACCTCCAGCTTCACCGTCTCCCTGCACACACCGGGGGCCTGGTAAGTGTCAGGCAGAAGCCGAGGTCCCATCAAGGGTCCAGACTCTCCGTGCCTCCTTTGTTTTCATCGAGTCTGGGCCGCTTTAGCTCTGGGGGGCTGCCCTGAGTGTCTCCAGGCGTCTCTGCAACATCAACAAACATAAGGTTGGCAAGTAAATGAAGAATTCTGGAAGTCAAGGGCTGACATTTACAGAATACAGAGCCAAGACATGGAACTGAGCTGCCTGGCAAGATCCTATACTGATATAAGGGAAGGGTCTATAGAGCGGTTCTCAACCAGGGCCGATTTTGCCTCTCAAGGGACAGTGGGCAATGCCTAGTGGCATTTTAGAATGTCATGGGCAAGCCAGGCACAGTGGCTCACGCCTGTAATCCCAGCACTTTGGGAGGCTAAGGCAGGTGGATCATTTGAGGTCAGGAGTTGAAGACCAGCCTGACCAATATGGTGAAACCCTGTCTCTACTAAAAATACAAAAATAACCCGGGTGTGGTGGTGCATGCCTGTAGTCCCAGCTACTCGGGAGGCCAAGGCAGGAGAATTGCTTGAACCCAGGAGGTGGAGGTTGCAGTGAGCCGAAATCGTGTCACTGCATTCCAGCCTGGGCGACAGAGCGAGACTCCATCTCAAAACAAAAAAAAAAAAAAGAAAAGAATGTCATGGGCAAGAAGTAGCACCCAGGGATGCTGCTAAACATCCTGTAATACACAGGACAGTCCCCCACAACTGAGAATTACCTGGCCCAAAAGGTCAATAGCCATCAGGTGGAGACACTTGAGCTAAACGATCTCCTACTGAACCCACTCCCTGGCTCACCAGGATGCTCTCACTGGCCAGGTGCCTCCCTGCTGAGGGGTCAACACGCAGCCAGTGGGTTTAAACAATGTTTCCAATAAGGTGCATCCTTGCTGTCTCAGAACTGACTTAAAATTAGATGGCATTAATTTCCAAAAGAACAAAAGAAATGATATTGCACCTTTAATTATATTAAACCGGTAACAATATTACGTACCTGACTGAATTTCTTCTGTAGAAGGGGTGGAAATCACACTGGTTGGTACAGAATTTGGTGGAGTGTCTGTCTTTAAGGGTGTTAAGTTTATTCTCCTTCATTTAAAAAAAAAAAAAAAGTAGAGGGGTGCATGGTTCATTAGTATCACAGGAATTATTTATGTATCATACCAACCTTCAAAACTACCAAAGGAAATACTTAGATTTTCAGCTGAACATATGGTTCAAGGCATTAAATAGTAAGATGTGACCACTTGTTTAACAACTGAGGGTTACATTCATGTATTAAGTTAAACCATCACATTTATAATAGTCAACTTAAACCATAACCAGTCATCTAAAAGTTTCAAAACCTGTGTTCTGTTCATTATCCATGGTTTTGTGAACACTCTGCTGGCTGCTGTAAAAGGCAGTCAGATATGGCTTCTACACATAGAAAGTGCCAAAACACAGATAATACTTTTTAAAAATCCAGAGTGTTGGGCTGGGCGAGGTGGCTCATGCTTGTAATCCCAGCAGTTTGGGAGGCCGAGGCGGGCAGATCACTTGAGCTCAGGAGTTTTTGACCAGCCTGACCAACATGGCGAAACCCCATCTCTACTAAAAATACAAAAAGTCAGCCAGGCATGGTGGCACATGCCTGTAATCCCAGCTACCTGAGAGGCTGAGGTAGGACAATCACTTGAACCCAGAAGGCGGAGGTTGCAGTGAGCAGAGAGCGTGCCATCGCACTCCAGCCTGGGCAACAGAGCGAGACCCTGTCTCACATGAATAAATAAATAAATAAAAACCCAGAGTCTTAATTTTCAACAACTATTCTTGTTTGTAGAAGATTACACCTTCAAGAAGCTTGGTAAATAATTCAGAAGAAATCAAGAGGGGGAAAATAATTTAATAGCAAAAATAGTTCAAGGAATACCTTCCGTCACATAAAAACAAATAGAAAAATCGTAAAATACCTTGCTAATCTGCAGAAAGAAATGAGAGATTTTAAGAGGGCGGTAAAGCCAGCAACCCACACACATATTATGAACTTGCCAAAGAAGACCTGTGGCCACAGGAGAGGCTGAGAGGCACAGGGCGCTCTGTCCAGCTCGCCGTCCCCAGCCCTCCTCCTGACTCAGTTTATGGGCAGGCTGGGAGGCAGAGGGCCTGGTGGAGAAGGAACCACACAGGATCAGGAGTAACTGGGTATCAGCTGCAGGGAAGGATGGAAACGGGAGGCTGTGCTGCCTGACGGCGAAGGATGTGCTAAGCGGCTCTGTATCCAGTAGGAGTGGCAGACACAGGCGTGCGTGCCAGACACAGACGTAAGCAGGGAAGAAATGACTCTGCACCTCCCTGGGGATTATTTATGAGCTCAGGACCCCCGTTTCTCACGGACCAGGCTGCTGGAGACATCAAACGGAGTCTCAGGAAGACACTCCTGGAATTGCCTACATCCTGGGCAGGACAGCATAAATAAAACACAGGCTCTGCTTCCTGTCCTTGGGGGCTCATAACCAGCAGGGAAACTGAAGCATCAAAGCACCTGCTACGGAATCTGATGTGTGGTGACAAGGGAAAGGCTGAAGGGCCACAGAGCCTGCAAACAGAGAGGCTACATTCACATGGGTCTTTCAGAAGACTCCCGGCGTCACCAAGAGGAAGAGAGGTACAGGGTTTCCCCAGAGAAGGGAAGGACAGAAGCCTCAAAGGGCAGAGTGTGCTCTGGGAAGATGACATTCAGGACTGGGCTAGAGATGAAGGCCACGGACTCAGGAGAGAGAGTGGCCACAGTCCTGGATGACAGGCTGCAGCCAAATCACAAGCCTGGGCTTTATCTGACAGGCAGGAACTGAAGGAACAAACAGGCCTATATGCAAGAAATGACACTCTCGGATTTGAAGTTAAGAATCTCTCTGGCAACCTACTGGCATGAAGTATTCGCCGCCTGGAATTTCACCTGCGGCAGGGTGGGAGCGTTCTGTTTGCTTTTCACGGTTCATTTTGCAACGACAACTTGTTCCAACAAGGCCTTACCGGGGCGTTGTCTTGCTCCAGGCTTGCAGTGTGTTCAGAGTGACCCTCCGGGATGGGTGGCCTTTTGTGTTTTGACTACTGGGCTGCAGGGTCTTCTCCTCTGAAGGCCCCGGCAAGGGGCTTTTGACAGCAGGAGTGATGGAGGGAGGGTCTCTGATGGCTGTTGGGGCTGGGGCCTGTCTGGCTTGAGGAGGGGTTGTGCCGGGGCTGCTGGGGTCTTGGCTTCTGCTGGCAGGGGCTCCCTCTACCGGTCTGGGTCCTGGCGAAGACCCTCGATGTGTCTGACTCTTGGTTTTCTTTGCTGTATCAGGAGTTCTCATGCTCAAAACTGGCTTCTCTTTCAAAGGAATTCCAAGTTCATCTTTCTCAAATGTCACAAACGAGCAGTAACCGTCCGTGGAAGAAATGGCCAAGAAGGCGCCATCACTGGACCTTCATCCCCAAAATAGGGAAAAGTTACAGACCTTACCAACACTCTCACATCTAGTTAGAAGAGGGAAGTTCAAGCAAAATCACAAGCTTGTCTGAAGGCAAAAACCAGGGAAAAGATACGACTGGAAAAGAGTGTGTGATAGCAACTCACTCATGCAGTTTCATCACGATTTGCTAAGTCACTGTAACCTATCTGTGCTACCAGCAACTTGCACTTGAATAGGCCGGGCACAGTGGCTCACACCTGTAATCCCAGCACTTTGGGAGGCCAAGGCAGGTGGATCATTTGAGGTCAGGAGTTCAAGACCAGCCTGGCCAACCTGGTGAAACCCTGTCTCTACTACAAATACAAAAAAATTAGCCAGGCATGGTGGCAGGCGCCTATAATCCCACCTACTCGGGAGGCTGAGGCAGGAGAATCGCTTGAACCCAGGAAGCAGAGGTTGTAGTGAGCTGAGACTGTGCCACTGCACTCCAGCCTGGGTGACAGACTGAGACTCCATTTCAAAAAAAAAAACTCACACTGAGCCAAGCAAGCCGCGGAGGCTGAATTGGGGACCCAAAGGTGGTGGAAGGGCAGCGGTGAGTGACATTCTCTAGACAGGCCCAGCTCGGGGCACTTCCCTGTCCTGGGCAGCAGGGACATGCAGGGGAGGGCTTCTTCCCAGAGGGCCTCAGGAATCCCCAGATGGCCAGGGAGTCTACAGGGCCTCCGCTCAGTTTATCAGAGTCCAGTTAACCCCACAAGGCAATCTGAATGCCATCAAAACCCACCAGTGTGAAAATAAGAAGCAAGTATTATGGCAAACTAGAAATGGCTTTTCCTTTTAATGTTGATTCCTTTAAAAAATAAAATTGGGCCAGGTGCAGTAGCTCATGCCTGTAATCCCAGCACTTTGGGAGGCTGAGGCAGGAGGATCGCTTGAGCCCAGGAGCTTGAGACCAGCCTGGCCGACATGGCGAAACCCCATCTCTACTAAACCACAAGAATTAGCCAGGCGTAGTGGTGCACACCTGTCATCCCAGCTACTTGGGAAGCTGAGGCATGAAAATCACTTGAACCTGGGAGGTGGAGGTTGCAGTGAAACGAGATCACACCACTGCACTCCAGCCTGGGCGACAAGAGTGATACTTGGTCTCAAAAAAGTAAATAAGAAACAAAATTGGTGAATATGTCCCCCAAAGCCATCTTTAGTAACGAAATGCTCCCTAACCCCAGGGTCTCTTCCAGGGTACGGCCATGGGCTCCTTCACTCACTCTCCCTCATTAGCAGCCACTCACCATGAAATGTCACTGAGCGTGTGGTAATGTATATTAGACACGTAACCGAAAGGGAAGGACTGCTGGGTGTCATACAGAAGCACGGAGTCCTCCGAGGCCACAGCAAACACGAGGCGGTAGGGCAGAGTCATCAGCTCCACACCTGGGGGTCGGGGACAGAGACAAAGTAAAACCACAGAAACGAGGCTTCTGACCGGGCGCAATGGCTCACGCCTAGAATCCCAGCACTTTGGGAGGCCGAGCTGGGTGGATCACTTGAGCTCAGGAGTGTGAGACCAGCCTAAGCAACATGGCAAAACCCCGTCTCTATCAAAAATACAAAAATTAGCCAGGCATGCGGGTGTGTGCCTGTAGTCCCAACTACTCAGGAGGCTGAGACAGGAGAATCGCTTGAACCCAGGAGGTGGAGGTTGCTGTGAGCCGAGATTATGCCACTGCACTCCAGCCTTGGCGGCAGAGGAAGACTCTATCTCAAAGAAAAAAAAGAGAATATTTATAGGAATAAAATACATCCAGCATCCACTAAGGTCAAATTCAGTGTCTGGTATCTAATCAAAAAGTACCAGGCAAACAAAGAAACAGGGAGATATGACCCACAAGGAGGAGAAAAAAAATCAAAACCAACCTGTATACAAGGACATTAAAAGAGCTATTATAACTGTATTCTATAGGCTTAAGAAGCAAGAGGAAACTGAGGTGGGCAGATCACCTGAGGTCAGGAGTTCGAAACCAGCCTGGCCAACATGGCAAAACCTTATCTCTACCAAAAATAAAAACATTAGCTGGGTGTGGTGGCACACACCTGTAATCCCAGCTACTCGGGAGGCTGAGGTGGGAGATTCACTTGAACCTGGGAGGTGGACGCTGCAGTGAGCCGAGATTATACCACTGCACTCCAGCCTGGGCAACAGAGAGAGACTCCTTCTCAAAAAAAAAAAAAAAAAAGAAAGCAGCAAGAGGAAAGATGGAGCGTGGAGAGGCACAAATATATAAGGAAAACCCAAAGTGAACCTCTAGAGATGAGAACCACAACAACAAAAAACACACCAGATGGGACCAAGGGCAGAGCATGCAGCAGAAAGGGTTAGCAAACTCAAAACACAGCTATACAGACTTCCAAAATCAAACACTGGAAGAAGAAAAAAACAAAAAAAGTAAGCAGTATCAAAGGCCAGGAACGAATTTCAAAGGACCTAATATAATACATGTGCAATGGGGAGTATTTGAATAAGAGAAGGGGATGACAGAAATAATATTTGAAGGAAAAATGGCTGAAACTTCCCAAATGTAATAAAAACTATAAACTGATAGGTCTATGAAGTTCAGTGAACCCCAAGCACAAGAAAACATAAAGAAAATGGCTGGGCGTGGTGGCTCACACCTATAATCCCACTACTTTGGGAGACCGAGGTGGGTGGATCACCTGAGGTCAGGAGTTCGAAACCAGCCTGGCCAACATGGCAAAACCCCGTCTCTACTAAAAATACAAAAATTAGCTGGGTGTGGTGGCGTGTGCGTATGAATCCAGCTACTCTGGAGGACAGGTTGGGAGGCAGGGTTGCAGTGAGCTGGATTGCACCACTGCACTCCAGCCTGGGCGACAGAGCAAGATTCCATCTCAAAAAAAAAAAAAAAAGAAAAGAAAAGTGGATAATGAGAGACATAGACAAACAAAAGGAGTATGGCTATTCCTTTTAAAGTGCCTTAAGAAAATAAATCCTGAAAAAAGAAAAAAAAAAAAAACCTGACATGTATTTTGAGAACCTCAGTCTTTGCTCCAGCTTTTAAAAAAAAAAAAAAAGGGCCAGGCACGAGGGCTCACACCTGTAATCCCAGCACTTTGGGAGGCCGAGGCAGGTGGATCACTTGAGTCCAGGAGCTCAAGACCAGCCTTGGTAACATGCTGAAACTCTGTCGCTACCAAAAATACAAAAATTAACCAGTCTCATAACCTGGTCTCAAAAAAAAAAAAAAAATAGATTTAAATGTAAAAATAAAATATTTTAAAAATAACTGAACTGAACCAAACCCACATACCCACCTTTCCCTGTAAGACAGAATCCGAATCTCCACCCCACTCTGGTGACCCGTTTCGGAGAGAAAACATAATGCACCCTGAGGCACGAAGGATACCTAAAAAAAAAAAAAACCTCAGTTCAAAGTAGACCGGACAGCAGCGAACAGCAAGAGTGGCTTTTCCAGGACACGGAAGATGAGCGATGGGCCTAATGGATTAATTGCAGTGTTAAGAAAAGGCACTGTGACTCAGCGAAAGCAAAAATAAAAGGTAAACATTTCGGCAGGGCACGAAAAAAAAAAAAAATAATCCCAGCACTTTGGGAGGAGGAGGCAGGCAGATCACCTGAGGTCAGGAGTTCAAGACCAGCCTGACCAACATGACAAAACCCCATCTCTACTAAAAAAAAAATACAGGCCGGGTGCAGTGACTCATGCTTGTATTCCCAGCACTTTGTGAGGCTGAGGCAAGCGAATCACTTGAGGTCAGGAGTTTGAAACCAGCCTGGCCAACATGGTGAAACTAAAAAAAAAAAAAAAACAGAAAAATTAGCTGGGGGTGGTGGCGGGCACCTGTAATCCCAAAAAAAAAAAAAACTGAGGCAGGAGAACCACTTGAACCCGGGAGGCAGAGGTTGCAGAAAAAAAAAAAAAAACCATTGCACTCCAGCATGTGCAACAAGAGCAAAACTCCGTCTAAAATAAAGGTAAATATTTCAAACATTTCCTTGACTGCGTACCTTTTAAGATTCTTCCTAAAAAAAAAAAAAATGGTATTCATTACATTTTCACCAGATTCCACACATCCAGCTGGGGAGCAGGGAAGGGAGGGAGAGGAAAGAAAAGTCACTGTTTCAGCAAACTGTTCTGTTCAAAAAAAAAAAAAAAACTCAAGAGCCTTCAGTTCCGGTTTGCAAAACAGCTCCCCCTGAAGTTATATTCTCTAGACAATGTTGTGACTGAGCACAAAAACAAATATTCCAGCACTGAAAAAAAAAAAAAATTACTCCAGTTCTACCTACTTGTCATCTCCACCTACCTGTGGGCAGTCCCTGGGGACCCGGTTCTGATCTTGGGCCGGGAGAACATAGTGAGCCTTTGCCACAGGGCACCTTTGAGCCTCCAGGCAATTCCTCGATTGACGCACCGTGACTAGATTCAGCTGCCCAGGCTCCTTTCTCCCTAAGACCCTCATCTCTATTCCCTGGATTCCAGCCTTGGATGCTATCCAAAGGCTGAGACTAGCCTTTCCCCAACTTCCCTATCCAGCCATGAGGCTGCCAGGAGACCTTGCCCTCTGCTGAAACCTCCAGCCTCCTTCAGAACCTGACTTTGCTAAAAAAAAAAAAAACCATCTGAGAGCTCTTCTCCACTCACCCCGTGCTGTACTTAAAACAGTTCAGCCCTGTCAGAGTGACCATCATACACTGCTGCTCTTACACTAACATCTCCCAAAAAAAAAAAAAATCTTGATACATATACACACACATAACTTTACATATGACCGTTTCATATCTACCAGGGAGGGCAGTAGACAGTATCAATAGTCTTTTTTTTTTTTTAATTAATAAAAAAAAAAAAAATGCCCTCTTTTCTTTTGAGACAGAGTCTTGCTCTGTCACCCAGGCTGGAGTGCAGTGGCGTGATCTTGGCTCACTGCAACCTCCACCTCCAGGGTTCAAGCAATTCTCCTGCCTCAGCCTCCCGAGTAGCTGGGATTACAGGCGCCTGCCACGATGTCCGAAAAAAAAAAAAAATTTTAGTAGAGATGGGGTTTCACCATGTTGGCCAGAGGGATCTCAAAAAAAAAAAAAAAAGTGATCTGCCCTTCTCGGCCTCCCAAAGTTCTGGGATTACAGAAAAAAAAAAAAAAACCCAGGCCCCTCTTTTCATCCCACTCCATTCTTCCATCCCCAAAAAAAAAAAAAAAACATTCAACAAACCATTATGTCATCTGTATATTTCCCCCATGCTCAAAAAAAAAAAAAAATCAGTTATAACTCAATCACATATATACCGCTATGATTTTTTTTAAAAAAAAAAAAAATCTAGCTCTGTCGCCCAGGCTGGAGTGCAGTGGCCCGATCTCGGAAAAAAAAAAAAAACGCCTCCCGGGTTCACGCCATTCTTCTGCCTCAGCCTCCCGAGTAAAAAAAAAAAAAAGCGCCCACCACCACACCTGGCGAATCTTTTTGTATTTTTAGTAGAGATGGGATTTCACCGTGTTTGCCAGGATGGTCTCGATCTCCTGAACTGATGATCCGCAAAAAAAAAAAAAACAAAGTGCTGGGATTACAGGTGTGAGCCACCGCGCCTGGCGGAGGATTTTTTTTTATTTAGTCCATTTGTTTTACAAAGCAGGGTATTATTGACACTTCTCCTTATTTTGCTAGTTTCAATCCACTACTCATGAAAATTAACTTGCATAGCACTGATGCAAAAAAAAAAAAAAACTGCATAATATTTACTGCAAGATTCATTCACCCAACCTCTGTTAAAAAAAAAAAAAAAGCTTTTGGTTTTTTACCACTATAAACAATGCTTGCAATAAGCATAAAAAAAAAAAAAATTTTTTTTTTTTTTTTTTTTTTGAGACAGAGTCTCACTCTGTTGAAAAAAAAAAAAAACATTGGCGTGATCTTGGCTCACTGCAACCTCCACCTCCGACATGAAAAAAAAAAAAAACAGTCTTTGCTCCAGCTGAGACGGGCGGTTACGAGGTCAGGGATTGAGAACCATCCTGGCTAACACGGTGAAACCCCGTCGATCTATTAAGAAATACAAAAAAACTAGCCGGGCGAGGGGGGGGGCGGCGCCTGTTAGTCCCAGCTACTCGGAAGCTGAGGCCGGGAGGAATGCGTGAACCCGGAGAGGCGGAGCTGCAGGAGCTGAGATCTGGCCACTGCACTCACAGCGCTGGGCGCCAGAGCGAGGAACTCCGTCTCAAAAAAAAAAAAAAAAAAAGAAGGACATTCTACGAATGGGGAAAGACCCAATTTAACGACTGGAAACTGGCCGGGCGTGGTTGGCTTCAAGCCTGTGATCCCAGCACTGCTTGGTAGGCCAAGGTGGGGGTGAAACACCTGACGGTCTGGAGATCAAGGACCATGCCTGGCCAACATGGCAAAACCCTGGTTCTCTTACTATAAATACAAAAAAAAGATATTAGAGCCA